CGGCATCTGATCGAATATTTAAACTTAATTTTGCAGCAAGTTGCATAAATATGCTCATTTCTGCAGAATGCAGATGTGTAACTTAATGCGGATCAAATATGAAACTTCATTCAGAAAACTTGCATATCTGCAAGCGTTGTCTTTAAGAAAAAACTGTCTGAAATAAATCTTTCCCTAAAGAGTCGATTACAAAATTTTTTACTCTACTTTACTAATCATGCAGTAAATTACTACTTCAAACTTAATGCATGCAAATTTTATTTTGGATACAGTAATTTGCATTCAAAATAAAAATGCAGAGCTATTTATAACTTGCGGAATCCAAAATGAAATCTATTAGTTATAGTGGATCATATATTTAGATTGTAAGTCTCTGTACGTATCCTTTTTAATTTGATTCATACGACAGTATATCTTTTAATATTCTGATATTTTTTCTGTTTATACAATTTTATGTTTAAAACTCAACAAGCGCTGCAACTTTTAAAATACTTCCCAAATTGAATTTTAATTATGTTCAGCAATAAAGATTTAGTTTTCTGAGGTTTACATATTACATTTGTTTAAGAAATCCAGTTAAATATTTGCAGAAATTTTGTTCCTAATTTTCACTTTTTTAAAAAATTTATTTAATGGTAAACTCCTGTCTGAGGCGTTAGATTGTAATTTGAAAGTTCCAGATCGCACTTTTTTTTTATTATCTCTATTATTTTTTTTCCAGTCTTCAAACGCCTCACCTTTTCGTATATCATACGAACGTTTTTAAACAGAGCGTATTTTTATCTATCATTTGTTTGGCCCATTTAGTGTCTGCGAACTTTCGACTAGCTGCTCGTTTTCAACTGTAAAAAAACGAACTTTCTGCATCTTCAAGTCACACTCAGCAGGTGTAAACGTTCCGAGTTTCAAACTATCGGGTCATGTTTAACATTCGAATACGATGGAGTCACTAATTTTTTTTTTAATTCTAGGCAAGTAGCCGCGGGGCACCATTAGATTCAAAACGTTCCAGGTCGATGTGGAGTTGTATATCGCCTCCACTTATTTCCTATAACCTGGTAGCCTCAGTTTCCCCATAAACCTTTTCTACTGTAAAAATTGCAGATGTCTGAAAGGTTCTGCTATGCAAGTTTTATAAGCATATTTTATTAGTATTCTTTCACCTTGGTTTGATTTCTACTTGCGCATTTATTTTCCGTATGTAATGCAGCAGTTTGCTCTTGCTTGTTCATTTCCCAAATAACTAACTGGGATGATTAGGTTGCAGATTACCCGGGCATTGTTTACTAAAAACGTTGCTTTAAAAACCATTAGCATGAAACAAAACTGCCTAAGGGAAATGCAAAAATAAAAATTCGAACAGTAACAGCAGATATATTTTGGGGAGGTGTTTTTAATCACATCAGTACGTAACCCGAAACAAGGAAACATCGTATATTATAATTAAAACGATAATAAATAAAATAAAATATTTAATTGTCTTTTTTGCGAGAGTTTGAATTCATTGACATTTGTTCAGGGTAACTTATTGATCCTATTTTCTAATGCTATTTACAAATTAATGTCTTCATATCTAGCAATTTTTAGTCTTCCGTTACTTGTAGTGTATTCTTTTTGTCTTTAATACTGATTTAAGTTATCATAATTATAACATACGTTCATGATAATAACATACGCTCATAATTACTATAGCATACATATTACAACATATCATCATTTGGTAACGTGTAATCAAATGAACTTAGTCTCTACATTAAACTTCTTACGAAATGAAAATAAATTGTTAATAATATATTTTATTGTTAGTCATAATTACTTGTTTTTGATTACTTCGGATTAGCTGTAAATTCTAAGTTAACGGTGGCATTCGAATTGAAATCGACGTTTGAATTGTAAAGACTGTTCAATTAGAACTGCAGATATAGTCAAACATCCTCCTGATTGGTGACAATTTTTGTCGCCATATTAATCACATTTTGAAAGTTTTGGCCTAAGCGACATTCTGGAAATTTACGGAGAACGCAATTTAGAAGATCCTAGAAAAGATTTTTCTCACGATTTTGCTTGGGTCTATATTACAGTATATATGGTAAACATATATATGTGATATTTGCAGTAGATGGGCATTGGAAATTATGAAGCTTAGCAATCTGGTCACATCAGAGTCCGGGTGTAGTCGTTGCGAAGTGGAAGGCAACCGAATTGAAGACTTTAAAAAACTCCATATCTTTATTCACTTAAAATGGCAGATCACTGTTCTTTTAGATTCTCCAAAATTACATATCCAATATTGATTTAAATTAAAGTAAGGTTAAATTTAGACCTTTCAACGTCATAACTATTCTAACAAAGGGAAGAATATGAGACAGAGCATAGCAAATTCTTATAGCAGCGAGAACAGGAAGCATCTGATTAACAACGGCGCGAACTCTGCATTTATAGTAGCGATTACATAACATGCCAGAATGTTCTCGAAAGTACTGGTCTAGGCGGAAGATCCTGAAATTGCGGAAAAATAATTAGAGGTTGCCTGTTCGCGTAGAGCAAAGCCATCGTATTTTTTATATTTTACACATATATACATATATAGAGAGAGAGAGAGCTTAATCTCAGTCTCCTTAATTAAATTTTTAGATATTCAATTTAGAATACTTTTTGAGCTTCCTCAGATAATCATAAATAAAAATATTATATATATATATGTAATAATAAAATTCCATAGTCAAGAATACACTTGAATTTCTAACTGTATGTTCTTTTCAATTTTAATGGCGACGTTCTCTTATTTGAAAGTACGTGGAATTAAATCTACAGCCCCGTAGTCAAGTTGTTTTTCCCGCCTATTCTACACGTACAGTTATAGAATGTTCTGGAAATATTTCAAGCGAACTGGAATGGCTGACGAGGCTGACGTCATTTCTTGGAAGCTCCGCCTTTCCAGAGGCTATAAAAGGACTCGCAAAAGAATATCGGGGGGCTTTTTCTTAAATGTCACGATGCAGTAAATTTCATACAAAAAGTTATTATTAATTCTTTTTATTTACTCCGGATATCTGATTTTGTAACTGCTATTTCTCCTGACCAATAATAAATGAGTCCTGTTTTTTAAACTTATCGTCTGATACTTTAAGCTACGACTAAAGCTGATACATCACACACACACACATATATATAAGTTATTAAGAGTAAATTAAGAAGCCTAAAACTTGGGCTAAAGCTGCTAAGTAATAAACCAATAATTTATCATTAGAAAAAGTTTTTCATATATTATCTCCATTGATCAGAAATTCAAACTCTAATAAATACGAAGCTCAAAATTACTAACTTTATTTTAACCTTGTAATTCCTCATTTTAATTTGGCTATCTCTCATTTCTGTTCTAAAGCGTTTATAAATTTTTTTCTGGACTGCGCCTTTCAGAATTAATCCGTTTAAGTTATCATACTGTAGGGCTGTAAGTTTTCAGCCTATCAGATTAAAGAAACTTTTACTGTAAATACCACTACTACTATTGCAAAACCCTTTTTTCCTCTTCCTCGCTGACAACGTGCGTTTCTCGCTGTACTTTATTCGTTTTTTCAAGGTATGTAAAGTGCACTTAACTATGGGGTGCATTTCTCACCCAAAATGATGTGTGATATAGTGTAGAAAAGAATTAAGTTTCGAGAAATAAATTGCGTGTTATTATTTTCCGCCACTACTCCTACTTTTCTCTATGCATCTTATGTAACTACGCGGTAAAGCCTCTTTAAAATATTACATCCAAATAAAAATATCGCCGATCCATTGCAGCTATTCTCTAAATATCACATTACATACATATCTGTATGAAAAATAAAGAATATGTAAAATAATAAATTAGCAACGTAAACTTCCCTTCTCTGTTCTAAAAATAGTAACCCCTCACTGCACTGCGTCATTTCGAGACTATTCTATATCATATGATTCTTACGTAATTATGATGATGTAAATTGAACTCAACCAGCCAACAGTAATTTTAGAGCAATATTAACTGTCCAATCAGAATGTATTGAGAACCAAAACTAACTCAGTCTGAATAAGACTTCACCCTGAAAATAATGTACTTGCTTTCCACGCTTTGATCTAGCTACGTAAGTAATCAAAAATAGAAGCCTTTTGAAAATAAAACTGAAGATTTAATCTGTCTTCCCTCCAATTTCCTGGTCATTGCTTCTGAGTTTGAATATATTACATATATACATAAAGAGAGCCGATCATTTCAGTCAATCATTTAAGTTATTCAGTTCAGGTTTGTTTTGACAGACTATACTAAAGCACTAGGATTATCTGCTTAAGGGGAGGGATGCCTTCGTGGAGATAATTCTAAGGAAAACTGGCTCGTATAGATGTTACACATGAGGAAACCACAAAAACGCCCATGCAACCAACCTGCAATCGATTCCAAGTAGTAACGACCCGTGTTCAGTGATTTTACGGCTCTGGGGCTGTTATTCAATTCTGAGTGGTACAATTGTACTGAGCTTCTGTTTTTGACTTTGTTCTTTGAGGGCTTGTGGTGATTTTTCGTGATTGTTTAGTGTTAACAATAATAGACTTGATAATTTCTCTTTTATTTTTCGAGTTATTTTTTAGTTTAGAGTTGAGTTTTCTTTTATTTTTCGAGTGCTAAGAGGCTTTTATTTAACTTAACTGCAAAAGATATTATGTATTTCAATAAAGTGTTAGTTTCTTCTTGTTAATCTGGTTAATCATTGGAACGATCTGCGTTAACAGTAGCTTACAGTAATTCTTTCTGTTATGCGAATAAATATCTTAATTTGCGCTTTCATGTGGGAAAAGAATTTGGCAGTTGCAAACATAAGGATCACCCAGGAGTAGATGTTTTAGTACGAAAAATAAATGTAAAATCCACGTCCTGCAATGTAGTAAACACTGCGAAATAGTCCAGAAGTAATAAAACAAAGTTTCTGCCATTCTCAAAAATAAATAATTAAAAAATGACACAAAACTGTACTCACCAGTAAGAGGGCCAAATATTGCCGCGTCTGCATTTTTACTGAAAGAAAAAAATACGATATTAAAGCTCTATTGCATAAAATCTTAATAATTGCATTAAATATAAGAAGAATCTGAACATATTTCTTGCATCTTTTCTAGCTTTTTTAAATATATTTTAAAACAGTTATTGTTTAAATACTTATCCCATCTCAGGAAAGCATATATACAGAAACAACTGACAGTAATGTATTATTAAAGAATTGTGTGGCGTCTGAATTCGCACAAAAATTTTTATCACGAGCTCTAAATCTATGTTTCTTTGTGAATAATATTTACTATGTTAAAACAAAGAAAAAAGCATAGAAATATACAACTTATCTCAAAAACCCACAACACTTGTGCTTATTTGCAATTCTTAAGTACCGTTCCTTATTTTTATCATTACTTTAAAAGTGACGTTCTTATTTTAAATCTATAAATAGTTCTGATATCTTTTTTAAGTAAGTAAGTGTGGTGCAAAAGTTTACAAAAAAATATCAGTTAGATATCACATAAATTACATTAATTAAATATACTATAAATTATATCAGTTAAATATTTATTAAAAAACTGACAGTTTCTGCATATATCATGATAATATCAAACATTTCCTCTTCATTACAGAAATGCCACAAATGTTCGTGATTATCAGCTATACAGATATATATTATAAATTAACTTTAAATTATATCAGTTAAGCATATTATTTAAAAATTATTTAAGACTTAAATTGTTAAGAAGTATATTTATTACTATCAAGTCCTCAGTATGTTAAACAGTTACACATTGTTTAAATATAAGAAATAAATTAAAAGTTTTAGCCTTTATAAAATGGAAACACTCTTGATAAATATATCTGTGAAGCTGAATTTAAAGATCTGATGGTTTGCGCAATGGCAATGCTAACCAGATCGCGATGGTGATAAATGCATATTAGCGTAACGTAGAAGAATTGGGAAAATTTACATGTAAACGTTTAAGACGTCAAACCAATACTGCCAAGCATTTTGTTCCGCATGATAATTATGGTATTTAAAATGAATCCTCTACTAACAGAATATGAATTACATTAAAATTTTTCTTCTATGAGCCAATGAAACACATTCCGAAAACTTTAAGGTTTTCCTTAAAATACCATTCAATTACAAAACATTCTGCCAACGTGATACATTTTGGCACAATATCACTGCTATCTCAGGAAAAAAAGTTCACATGAAAATTAATGTAAAGTTGAACTTTTCCTAATTTTAGAATAAACTCTGTTTGGTGTGAAATTAATTCTGTCTTGGAAGGTCTAGTAGATGCCATCTTTTCAACATTTTAGTCTTTTACAATCTTGTACAAATTTCAAAATAATTCTTTTACGCCCAAAAAAAAAAAAAAAAAAAAAATTTACTTACTTTTCCTTAAAAACATTTTGCAAAGGACCGCATGTAAACTGCTATCATTTTTTTTTCCAGTCAAAAGCCAATTATGAGTAAATTATTTCATTCCAAGCTATTCTTCATTCGTTTCAGAGGTAATAGCCCTTGAAATGTAGTTTCTTTTTTACGATGTATTCTGTTTTCTTTTATTTGAAAATGTCACGAAACATAATTGTTTTTCCAAGACCATCGTACTGTAAAATGGCTATCGCAGAATTTCTTTGAGAAGTGTAATCAAAACAGAAAATGAAGGTTGGTTTTCATTATTTTATCAAGCATAAAACAACAAAGGATGCAAGAATCCCTGAAATAATGCTTTTTAGAACTATTATCATATTAAATCCTCTTTTTCTCGCGGAAGATATAATTCGTTTATCCTTCCCAAACTAAGATTTAATGATTTTAAAAGATTGAATGATTAAATGTAAGATTTAATGGTTATTATTGAAGGTTATAAGCTAAGGAAAAATAATAAAATGTAATTAAATTTAGCCGCAGTTCTGCAACTAATCAATTAATTAAGAAAAAAATTTTAATTTTGACACTGGCAAAGATTCATAAAAATTTTTGGACTTTATGTTATGCTCACCATACTACCATAAGTGCAATGATTTAATCGTGGCGCAAAAAGGCAAAATTCTTGAATTACTTGAAGAGTAAGCAATAAAAATTCCCACAACTTTCATTGGTGGGATTTATTTAAAGTGAACTTAACCAACCATATTAAAATTTTATTATTCAGATTTTAATGCTTCAGTTATTACCCATGAGAAGTCGGTCTGGAGCATGAAAATAGGAATAATCTAAAACGCATTATAAAATTATAATATGATTGATAAGTTTACTTTAAATAAATTACAACTTTTGTCAAAAATTGTTTGGGATCGTCCCAACTTTTACTTCATGTTTTTAAAATTTAATAGGTTTCTTTTAATACAATTTTAGAATTTCCCTAGGATTGTTTAATCTACATCTACTAATGTACTATTTTGCGTATATTTATAAAAAAAATTGTGTTTTATATATATATATATATATATATATATATATGACGTAATAAAATCAAGGAAAAGACGAAGCAATGTTAAATACGTACGACGTACGTTGATCCATATTGAAGAGGACCAATTCTAATTGCGTCGTATGCTAATATGTTGACTTAGTAATATCCAAAGAACTTGCCAGTCGAGGAGGTTTTTAATTCCATTTTTATTTTCCAGTTGACGTTTATGGTCAGAAGCACTTGACACTCTAGCCATGCTTTTTTACAGATTTACATTTTTGATATTATTGCAATAGCAAGTAAGACAGCAAAGTTACATCCTAGCAGAGTAGAGAGCGAAGCTGAAGTGCGTAGTTACGCAAGATGGAAGAACACGAAGAGAAAGCTTCTGGGTTGAGTTAAAAGTTTCAGTTCCCAATTAATCAGAGCTGCGCAGGCCTTGCAAAAGGAAATGATGTAGAAATGACGCAATCGAGAGATGTTATTACGATTTTTAGAACAGAGAAGTATAATTAAAGTTTTAAAGTTAATTTAAATTATAAATTTGATTTATATTTTTATCTTACATATATATATTTGATATATATGTAAGATTATATATATATATATATATTATATATATATATATTTATAAGCTAGGTTGTAAGTACAATACTAATAAGACTAATTTTGGTCAAAATCTTTTGCGCAGTATGCTGCAAAATTATATATATATATGAGTGTAAGTTTTAAAGTAAAATACGAGTATGTAAAGCAAAATTCTGATGTTAATTTGCAATAGTCCCTTAAACCACAAAATTCAATTCAACAGCAATATCTCAAAATATTTAAAAAAAGAGCATATCTTAAGAATTTCCGATACACAGTCGCGTGCAGTTTAGATAAAAATAGATTTTTTTTCAGTTCTGTGTTGTCCTTCCTCGCTTTGAAATCGTTGAGTTTGTTAATAAAAAATTCGTTAAAGTTTTACAAAATATAAAACAGATAATAAAATAAATTCCATATTCCAAATTTGGGCTTCCAGATGTCTATATTCGAGTGGAGGACTACGCCATTCAAAATTTGATGTCTTTACGTGCCGTTATTTTTTCACAATGCAAGAAACATGCATACATTCGCGCAGATTCTTTATTGTTTAATTTCTTTAAATATAATGGAGGGCTCTAATATTTGGTGGCAACAATTTTAAAAGTGAAACGCCGTTTTAAAGTGGACGATGCAAAATGCAAAAACGAAATTAATAGGCCTAAATTTAATTAAAATTTCTGGGAAAATTGCCCCTTTGGACTGAAAAAAAAAAAAGGTCTGTTCTAAAATTTTGTGCGAATCTCTGAAACGAAATTCATCTGATGCCTACAAAAGTAAAACAGAGATATGTTTTGGAATTTTATGAAAGAGGTTTTTTTTTTTTTTTTTTTTTTTTTTTTTTTTTTTTTTTTCATTTCTACATTATATCAATTATAAATACATCTGTTGTGCAGCATACACTTTGATACTTTACAATGCTGTTCTCTTATTTGCATATAGTTCCGTTATTTATACAGTTATTAATTCAAACCCTAAAATATTAATTAACAAAAACTTTTTTTGAAATAGTTCATGCGAGCAGCTTTAAATAAATTCATTCTGTTGGCAACATAATTTAGATAAAAAGTAAATATTTTTCAGATTTCTATTGAAAATTTTTAAGTATATTTTAAACCAAAATTTTTCAAGCGCATATAAAAGCATTTCTAATACAAGTTTACCTAATTTTTTCATAATTTACAAAGTTATTAATTCAATGCCGTGGAAAAAATAATACAGAAAAATCTATCCTAGAATTTCGTGCGAATAGGCGTGTGCGTAGCTGCATTCTACGTAGCTTTCTCCGAAAGAGAGTACCATCCCTTTGTGTGTTCTTCGAAGATAATGAAGAAAGGGAATGAAATTATAACCCCTTTGCGTTATTTTATTTCTTTTATTTATTTATTTTATATTCCGCCTTGCAATCTATGAAGCTAGATAGGATGTGTGTATGAAAAGGCGCATATATATATAGATATATATATATATATATATATATATCCAAATTGAATTTTACATAGCCAATGGGGGGGATAGATCAGACTTTTCGAAAGAAGAAAAGCAGTTTATTTGCTGTAAATTAAAGCTTTAAGTAATAATCGCGAAACTTCGAGGCGTTTTTATTGCTCTGACATCAACGGAGTTAGGTTCTGAGAAATATATCCACCCATGAAATTGGATTTGGGTAGAGAAATGAATAATATCTATATGAAACCATCAGGTAGCTTAAATTGAAAAATAAATCTGTGCATCATCATTACACAGCGCATAATGCATACGCGTCAATCGGGAATCGAACTCCCATTATAGTATTACTTGGAGTGGAAAAACGCAATTCAGTGAAGTAATATTCTTTGATTTTTAAGGTTACACTAAATAGCTGGAGTAAAAGGAATTAAAGTAGCAAAATAAAGTATACATACAAAGGCTCATATTTAATATCATTTAGGAATCTTGTAATTTGGAAATTTATTTCAAAAAGCATTTAATAAATATTGAAGAATTTACTTCACGTTTTTTCATACA